TAACAATATATATACTGATAATGAGCATAATAATATGCAAAAACTAAAGTTAGTGAAATAACATAAGGGAATGTTTCCCATATATAATGACACACACTACAATTCGTTGATATGAATAATATGGTTTTGTGTGCCACGGCAATACTCGTAAGCATATCTTTTTTTTACATTCAGCAAATAGTACTAGAATGCGATACATGGAAGGCACTTTTGGCAAAACGAATAAAGAGAACTGAACAGTAAGCCTATGCCTTCTTTCTTTAAAAGACTATGTTGGGTTGTAGAAAAACCCATATCTTTGACCAAGTGTATAACCACGAAATAATTCAAAGTTTACTATCGATAATTCCGTTGTATAACAAAAAACTTGTGAGTTTTTCCCATTTTAATGTTGAAATAAATTTTCAGTGTATCCTAGCAACTCTTTTTGCCTCCATTGGGAGGTATTTTGAGTCATAGGATGTGATTAAGCCTTTTATTGTTAAAAATATGTAAGCTGGCGTAGGTTAAGGTCTTTTTATGCATTGTACTGAATCAATAGAACCTCTAAAATCTGTGTAAACATGCTGTCATTAGCTTTTACCTAGATTTGCTGTCTATATGATCAAAAGCAGAAAAATGTTTGTATGTACATGAAATACCTCACAGAATACTTATTAAGTTTTGTAAGTGATGACTTTCTAAGAGATAAAATAAACAAGAAATACATATATTTATAATCAACATACATACATTTGGACTTATAATTTTACTTATTGAAAAACGAAATGGGAAAAATGGGAAAATATATGGTAAAAAAAAAGTTATGTACGAAAGGGTACATACAACTTTGGTTATAATTTTACTATTGTTAAAAGTTTTTTTCTTGTCAAGTCATACGCTAGAATTAAGGTTACTAATATAAAAGTAAATGCTACTATAAGGAAAGACAACAGCCCGAATTTGGTCTGTATTAGTAATTAGTCGTATCAAAATCTCTATCAGATGTTGACTTGAAAATTTGAAAGTTGCAAGGTAGCAGCTTAACTGTAAATGTTACTCATTCCTATGCAAATTTGAATACCATCAGTAAAATTTATTTGTCGTTGAATATAGTCTTATCAATAGTTTTCACTTCCTTGAGAGTAACCTCAGACAGTAACCTGGTGTTTTTTGTTTTTTGTTCTTTTTTTTTTGTTTTTTTTTGTTTTTGTTTTGCTCTAGGAAATGTGGTGTCTGCAACGTTTTAAAACTTACATGCCTATAATCCTTTAAAGTCCGCTGATGTTGATTGTATAAAGGCATAGAATGGCAATCATGCAAGTGAATTATGTTTGGTGAATAAGTTAACACCTAAAAAGTATGGTAAACGTAAACTACGCCGCTTCTTGTCGCCGACCGTAAATACCGAAAATGAGCGGATAAATACGTTTATTTACGATGATGTAGTGGGCGGGAAAATGGGCGGAGCTTATTTTATCTCCTATTGAAAAACGTGTAAAGCTGAGTTGTGCTGATCCGAATCATGATGGTTCGACAATGTAAAGCTAAGAATGTAACTTCTGTCTTGTCGGCGTATACACGAACAATGAGTATTCGAACACTTGGTATTGCTACTATCAGTTAATATTTTGTCGTTTAACAAAATGTATTTTGTTGAAATGCATATTTACAATCTTACATCGGCAAACTCAATCCAATAATGCAACATTGGAGATTACATACAAAGAAATACAATTGTATTTTTTCCATTAACAAACTGTTCAACTCAGATCAACAAGGCTGGATTTTTGGCAACGAATAGCCTCCATAGAAATTTAGGGGGTACTGTAGTCAAACGAAGTCTTTTGCATCGATATGTCCTTGATACATATGAAATAACCGTCGCTGATATGCCAAATGGAGGGAATTTGTTTGAAAAAACAATGCATTATTGAAATAGAAAACACGGACGACTTGTATAGCCAAAGCGAGGATATACAAACATCAACAATGGAATAACATTCGACAAGGTCGGAATATTCAAGATATGTTAGCTAAAGATCCTCATGAAATGGCAGGAGTTACTCTAAAACGCAGCGGAATAGCAGAAATTCAAAAATATTCAACATGTGTTACCCGATTACCAAGTTTATGTAGCGTCCAAACAACATTTCATTGTTATCATCTACAGTTGCCTTAATGCAGAAAAGAAGACATATATGTACCTCAATGACAAACAAAATGATTTCATCACAAGTATACCAGGTTTCCTGTGTAAGAACTACTGCTGCACACAATGTTACAATGACTTTTATGAGAAAAGAAAAACAAAGATGCAGCAACGTTTGCAATGCTTGCAGTTAAACACACGATACCTGTGAGGTTGTATGGATACCTTGCACTGACTGCAACTGTTTTTCCAAGGCGATAGATTGTCATTTGTTACATAAAAGCTTTCTACATCCGTAAACTCGACATGTGTATCTATTGTCCGCTGTAAAGACTGTGGCAAAAGAATCAACAAGATAATCACTAAAACATACAGCGATGCGGAGACGTGTACTGCAATGTATGCAAGACTTCTTTGGAGAACACCATCGATGACTCATGATGCCAGAAGAAAACAACAGCTTTGAAATGTCAAGAGAGGATGAAATTATTGGTGAAATTGAAAAAAAAGAAACGTTCATATTCTTTGACTTTGAATGCAAATAATATGTCATGATGGAATGTATGGATGGTTAAAGACTTGTTCAGAACATGTGAATATTGTCTTAAATCTAGTTGTGATGTGTATGAACATAAACAGAACTTATGTGTGACTCATAATGTTTATACGGTTTGTCGGAACGAAGACACTGAGTTGGAGGACTTTAGACGACGGAAACACATTGACCGAATTCTGTCTTCGGCAGTGTAAATAGGATATTTATAACTGCACTATATCGTGCCCAATTTCTAAGGATATGATTCATGTCCAATACTCCAGTACCTAAAAATGTTGTTCTTGTACAGGTACTGGAGTATTTGATATTAATCATATCCTGGCAACATGAGACCATCGGACGAATTACAATCCAGAGTGATATTCCACTTATGTTGTGTTACTGTGTTTTTCTGTTTGACTTATTAAACTAAGGTTTATTATTTGTTCACATGTGTACATAATAATGCATAAAACAAACAAGAGTAATACTTACAACTGTCTTGCTTGTTCTTATTACTTTTTAACCATCTGTCATTTAATATTTGTCATCTCAGTAGAGAATAGATAACAGTCTCTATTTATTAAGCTGCAAGTGAGGGTGACGTTCGGCATCTAGTGTAAATCAGGAAAGATTTTTATGAAGATTAAAAATATGATACCAATAGATGGCGTCTGCTACAGCAAGTCGTTTATTTACATCGCTATTGTTCCGCACTAGTGAGCACGAATATTCACTCCCAATCCAAAATGGCGGATTTATATAGATAATTAGGGGTTATCGAGTGCGTTTGAAAGATGTTTCTCACTTTTTTATTTTTTTGGCCCATCTTTTGATTTTTGTAAAGAAGTCAGTTTAATATGGCGGCGTGCTTCTAAGTTAATATTATCGGGCTGATAAATACGTCTCAAAAATACATTTTGGGAAAAACAAACATTAACATAAAGATTTGGTTTATTGGTCTCACTTGCCATTTTATTATAATTGCCACCAATTTTATCGTATTTGCAAATACATGTAAAACATGTATATAACCATACTTATTTTTAGTTTTTCTTTGCAAAAAAGATGGCACAAAAAATATAAATCGGAAAATGTTATACCTTATACAGATGTTAAGTGTATGACATCATATTTTCCTCTCAATGTAATATAAAGCTCTATGTTTTAATGAATAACAAAAGAACTCATTATTTTTAATTGAAAAATTAATTCATGTGCATTTATTTTACCATCTGGAGGCCATTGACTTTAAGTTAAAAGTTTATATATCATGATATATCAATATTATTTAGCTTTCTTTTTGCGTAAATGACTTTAATACATTATACAATGAATAAGAACATCAAATATCAAATAAATCTTTTAATTTAAATACGTTGTCTTTATATAATATCATGTGAAATAAATGAAAAATTATATTGAGAAACTTATATCCTCTCCCTGGAGCCCAAACCCTAAAACAAAGGGGTGATGCTTTCCTCGGTAAAGGTCTGCCTACTTGTTATAAGCTTGCTCAATACAAAGTATGATTGCAATATCTCATGCCTATCTCTAGGTATTATCCTGAATACATTTTTCAATTTCTTGTGACACAAGGGTCCAAATGAAATACCATCCAAGGTAATCATATTAGCTTGCTAGATACCGAGTTTGATTACATGAACACATTCCTTACTATAGTTATTTTCTGGAAACCTTTTTTTTCAATTTTTAGTAACGGTGACCTTGACCTGGATCCCGTGGGTTCAAATGCTATACGAACCCAGGTCTACATATAAGCTTGCTAAATATCAAGTTTGATTACAATATTTTATTCCTAACTCTTATTTTCTGGAAAACATTTTTCTATTTTTAGTAACGGAGACTTTGACCTTGAGTTAACTCCTATATACCCCAAAACTTCGTTTGTGGAGGTATTATTATGCAAACCGCTGAACTGCCTCATCGCAATGTCGTGTAAAATGAATACATTTTCTTAAAATAAATAATATACACCAAGTTAGCCCCACCCTGGGACCTGAACCTAGACCCCTGTTTCCATATAAATCACAAACTTGAAACAGGAATTATTCCTCGTCATAACTATGTAATTCATCAGCTTTATACACAGGAGTAGAAAAGAATTAATGATTTTTACTACATATTCATAAGAGCCCCAACCCTCCCTCAACGAAAAGAAAACCTGTACCCCTGACCCAAAGGCTATGAAAATCACATACTTTTGAAAAGATATCCTCTCATCATAACTATAAATTTACAGACTGGTTAAGGAAGAGCTCTTTTTTGTTAGATATAAACATCAAAACCTAATTACATTTTTCTGTCCGACAGGTATATCCACTTCCTTTCTCACACAGAACAATGCTGCAAATGATCACTGGTTACAGTTACTGTAACAAACAACATAAACATAGTTCAGACGCAGAGGCGGAACAATGTAATAAGGTGGAAATTGAAAAGTAAGCATAAGTTTAATTGTTTTATTGTTTTTTAAAGAAAATATTCTTTTAAATATTCTGCGTTTAAACGATAGTATAAGATGATTATTTTTTTATCTTTTTTATTCACTTTACTCAACATTTTTATAATCGCTGATAATTGAATCACCGTGTACATGTATATACCATGACGCAGGAATGTGAAAATAAAGAATTATTGAATAATTATAACAAAGAATTATGCAAGTCTGTGGACAACACTAGCACATCTGTAAGTAAAAAAAAATACTGTTTATTGCAAACAAAAATCGCATTCATCTCCTTAAAAGACATTACATATATATAACCTCATTAAACTATTAGAAAAGTGTTTGCTTTTCAAGATTAGTCATATTGAAGGTGAATTTCGTCTTTCGTTGGCATTTTTTTGAAATCTGAACGGTGTATATTGGCTATTTAATAAACATATAAAAGCGTTCACCCTTGTTCTAAATAAACAACACCCTCACAAGTTATTAAAGATTGAATTATAACTGTAAATCCTTGAGTTAATATCAATTCTTACTGGGGCAGATGGTTTTTAACTAGTGTGATACCTTAATGAAAGAGGGAATGAACGAAGGGAAGATTGAGACGTTATTACGTTACATGCGTAGAAGGAACCCACACATTTAATGAAAAATTCTTTATTCGTCCATTTTACGTACAAGAGTTGTTCTTTGTTTTGTTATCAAATCTCAAAGAAGTTAATTCGCTGGTTGACTAGACTCTGTGGTAATCATGTTGTGTTGAAGTCTAAGTTTCTTTACCGACTGGTGGATTTGTTGCTGAATAGGGTCCTCCTACAATACGTACCAGTCAATTACAAACTCGGCATAATTCGTTCTTTTCTTTCTCAAATATGGCAACTCGTCATTACCAACGCAAACATAAGCTTCGCAAAAATATTTGTCTTGATCTGTGTAATTGTTAGGTTTTCTTTAAATTGCTCTATACGAGACTGCCTTAAAGGCTTCCTAAATTATCTATCCCATATACAAAGGCATGTGTGCTTTTCCTTGAGTTAATCTTTACCAGGAGGCGTTAACCAGGAGGCTGCATAAAAAGATTTTCTCGACACGCTCTTATCATGACTCTCTAAGTCCTGTTCATCATTATCATGATGTTCATCATCATCATCATCAGAATAAGGCTAATCATCACCAGTATCGGACGAGGAGCCTTTACTATGTGTTTCACTGGAATTTCATCTATATTTATTTTATTAACATAACTTCTTGTCTGTTATCCTTAAAATAATGTCCAAAGTGCTGAATTGAAGATTTTTCACTAAATAACATTATAGATTACAAGTCCCTTATTCAAATGGTTTCATGAAAATGGCTCTGAATTCGAGATAAATTCTTTGGGCCAATGTTGTCAATTATAATCCAAAATGACCACAGCCGAAGAACAGTACGTGATATTTCCTTCTTTATGTAAACTGTTCAGAAGAGACAAAATCACAAATCATGTTAGAATAATATGATAAGGCATAAGTTAAGAATTATTTTTTGATACTGCTTATATTGAGACACTTGCTTGTCACCGCTGTAGGTTCGAAAAATAGATAAATACAGAATCCCTAAAGCGAACCCGAAGGCGCACTAGCATTCTTCATGTGAAAAAGCTATCCTGCTATATTACGGAACGTTGGAGTTTTCTCTGTTGCCTCTTGTGCCTGAAATAATTTACAGAGGGCACCTCACGCCATCTTCCAACAGTAAAGCTGGAAACTCGCCATATACTGTGTTGTTGCGACGTTAACGCCCAAAACGTTTCGCCTTAAGTTAGTGCGCTGTTTTAAAATTGTGTAAGATTATTCTACTATATTAAATAAGTTGAATAAGGTTAAGATGGCATCAAAAGTTGGTGTCTAAAATCGTTAGAAAGTAATGCTAAACATCAAGATTTAGTTCAAATGCATGTGTGAAATAAAGCTATTTAATTACTTCATATTCTATATGTGCAGCTTCAATACTAAAATATTGAACGAATTGGATAAGATTATAATTATTAAGTGAGCCCTCTTATGAGTATAATATCATTTCAACTGGTCCAATATATCATTAATAAAGCTGCACGTATTAAAATATCAGAACTTTAAAATCTAAGAAACATAATTAGAAAGAACTCCTTTAGATTGATTGAAAATAAGATGCGTAAAGGCGCTAAATGTTAGCATAACACTATAAGCGTGTTATTCTCGTGTACGTGTTATTCTCGTGTAAATTCATTATAAAATTGTTTAACCCGTTAAATAGATAATATTACGATCGCCAGAGGCTCGCAGAAAATATTTCAATAAATTAAGTATTGTATTATGAACACATTTCTGTTAATATATTAAAGAAAAATTGTACAGATCCACCACAGGATTTCATGCAGCTTTGTGCAACACTCACATTAGGTATATAGGGGCGTTCGTGGCCGAGCGGTTAAGGTCGTTGACTTCAAACTACTTCCCTCACCGCTGTGGGCTCGAATCCTGACAAGCACTTTGTATGCTTTTATGAAAGGAAGCTATCCAGGTAGCTTATGGACGTCGGTGGCTCTACTCAGGTGCCCGTTCGTGCCTGTTATAATGCACGGAAGGGCATCTGAGGAATTCCTCTACCAGTAAAGCTTGAACGTCATCATATGACCTATACTGTGTCGTTGTGACGTAAACCCCAATTAAAACAACAATAAACTAGGAGGAATAAACAAGTTTGAATCGTACTGAACATTATTTATTTACATAGATCTATACATAGACACAGTTTCGAGCCGATATACAAATACTAGTATATGTTTCCATTTATTTTAAGAATAAGGAACCAACATAAACTGGATGAGGCGAGCTTGGATATTAAGAAACAAAATGACCGTAATGAAGCAAAGGTTAGAGAGTTGGAGAAAGAGCAGAAAGATAGAGAAATGCAATTGGAAAGGTTAAGACTTGAGCTGAAGCAAACTGAGGAAAATCGAAGGCGTGAAAAGGACGAGTAAGTGTTGAAAATGAAGGGGGCTGCTGGCAGATATTATACTGTTGAATAGGGAAAATGGCTAGGTTAGAAATATCAATAACAAATTTAAAATTGAGGAAAACTACATTTCAGATAAACAATTGATATAAAACAGTAAATGCCTTTGTTTTCGTTATACTAAACTTGTAAGTTTCTGATGTTAAGCTTAAGAACTGGACGTTATCTAAATAATTTGATTCATTAGCAACTACCATTAAAACATTCTATACATTCAAGGCTCGTTCCCGATGGAACCGATCACCCTCGGGTTGGGATTTCCCTATCCTCTATCTAACCCAATGGTTGATTATTTTTCTCACTCACCTGGACACACAAATATCAGTGAATCTATACTTGCTACGCACATTACAATGTACCTGGTTTTGAAAAGGGGCGGGGCTTAGGATTAAAAAGCATTATGTACGTTAAATTCTTCTGACCAAGTTTATGTGTGAAAAATTTATGAAAATAAATTCATATAAGATCCCTCATCAAAAAACAAGGTTATCATGATAAAACACATCGATATTAAAAACGGATAGTGCCATAATATAAGTGTTTATAAGGAATTCAGTCCATACTTCAATGGCTGACAAAAAAGCGTATACCGTTTGCAAAGATTTTTCTACTTTTTCGGTTATTTTGGTCGAATATTCAATTAAAATATATCAAAATGAGATTCGTCATCAAGAAGCATCGTTATCATAACAAAAAACATGAATGTTTTTCAGGCAAAGCGTCATAATATCCGATTTTACGAAGAATGTTTCGACATTTTAAAGTGTGCTATTTTTAGTAACAGATCGTTATTGAAAAGGGCGGATCTAGGTAGGGTAGGACTCATTGCAGTGTGAAAGTTTATTATATCAATCTATTTTGATTCCGTAGACAATTTAATAGATTAGCTCACAAATATTTAATACATTTTGACCTTTTGACAATTCATTTTTATTAAAATAGGAGTGAATCGCGTATTATTTAGAAGTGCTGCACGTTGAGTGTGAGATAAGCCCATGTGAGATAAAATTTTCCAACACCGCTATTTTAAGTAAAAATTCAAGGATTTTTCTATCTGGTTAGTGAGAAAAAGATTTTCCATATCCAAATGTAGTACATACTTTAAAAAAACTTCTTCTCTAAAATGTCAAATACTAGAACTAAGATGTTTGACATGAAGCAATGTCTTGTAACTTTTATCCAACTGTTTTATAAAAATGTCTTTTATCAAATAAATAACTCAAATTATCAAAATAGCCATAGATAAAATGTTTGCATTTTCCAGTTACTACATTTGACTTATATGAAAAATAACAATGTTTTGCATGTACAACACACCATGACACAAACTGCAAGAAGAGGGGAAACAAACGAAGGATTTTATTTTACTTGATTGACTCGTATATATTTCTAGAAAGAAATTTTTGATCACATGTGTAAAGGTGAAAACATAATATAATAGTTGATTTTTATTATACAACTGTCCGATGTTTAGTCTGTGTGTTATTTAACAAAGGCAGATCTATTTCAATGTTAATAAAAGGCTATGTACGAGGGTTGTTCGGGAAGTTCTGGGAATTTTGTCATATCTCCTATATTTTTTGTTTCTAAGACGTAATATTTTGCACATACTAAGATTAGCATATCACGGAAGTAATCCTAAAAATTGAATAGAATCAGACAATTATAGCCGGAAATAGCAGTAACCATAGCAACACTATAACGCCGCACCGGAGCAGTCCGACTCTAAAGAAAGGTATAACGCGCTACACTAATAATATTTCGTAATTTTGATAACGTAAAAAATGCGCGAAAACGCTGGTCAGCAGCGGAACGTCATGACGTCATTTCCTGAAAATATCATAACGTTATTTAAATTCTCAACGAATCAACATTGTTTTAACGTTGTTGCCCAGAGCCACTGAGTAAACAACATGACGTCGATAGGTGACGTTGAATTGCGAAGCATCGTGAAATATTGTGTTGCGCTGGGAAAGCCTTCCACAGAAACAATGAAAATGATCAATTCTACAAGAAAATACCAGAAATGCAGTCCGGCTACAGTGTATAGATGGCATGCTCGTTTTAAAGAAGGAAGAAACCCGATCGAAGACGATCCTAGATGCGGTCGGCTGTCTGTTGTTGCATGTTCAATTAAGGACTCGGTAAAAGATATGATAAATTGCGACAGAAGAACGACAATTAGAGCTATTGCAGATAAACTTTGCGTATCAGTTTCTACTGTACACAGAATACTTACAAAAGATAACGGTATGTCTAAAGTAAGTGCACGTTGGGTACCACGGTTGCTAAAGGGCAATGAAAAGGATTGTCGGGTGCGATGCTCTCAGGCATTTCTATCACGCTATGACGCTGAAGGTGATGAGTTCTTAGACAGAATAATAACAACTGACGAAACTTGGCTCCACCACTTTGATCAAGAGACTAAGGCTATGTCATCGGTATGGAAAACCCCGCGTACACCTCCCCCAAAGAAAGCCCAGGTGCAGAAAAGTGCGGGAAAACACATGTTTATTTTCTTCATGGACCGGCACGGGATGATTCTGCAACACAGAGTTCCGGATGGTCAAACTGTCACGGCGGCTTACTATTCAAAGGTAACTAAAAGTATACATTTCTAATTATAATAAATTTTAAAACATATTTATTGATAAACATATAATATTATAAACATAATATTTATAAAAATTAAACATTTAAAATATAAAAGTTTTGGGTAAGATAAGTGCAAATCAAATTTTTAACCGCATGCGTTCTTTACAGGTTCTTAGGCGGGATTTCGTTAACGCGATACGGAAGAAGCGCCCCCACATGGACCATGACCGCATCATACTTCATCAAGACAATGCGCCGGCCAACAGAGCGGAATCTACCCAGTTAGAGATCAGCCTCTTGGGGTTTGAGATCTTAGAGCACCCTCCATATAGCCCGGACCTCGCTCCGATGGACTTCCGTGTGTTCCCGGAGCTCAAATCACAGCTGCGTGGAAAACGCTTTGACTCAGCTGACGATCTTGTTAAGCATACGCAAGCTATAGTCTCGTCCTTTACCGATAGCTGGTACGTGGAAACATACAATAAGTGGATCAGCCGACACAGGAAATGCATCGAAATTGCAGGTGACTACGTTGAAAAGGTGCGACGATCGATGGACTTTAACGTCGCATAACGTTGCAAATGACGTCGGCGTGCTCCGGGTGTTTGTAATATGGTTATTTACTATTTTTATTATGTTTTAGTGTCTGTGTGTATGATGATGATATTTTCAGATACTGTACAGTATATATTGAAATAAATGCGTATATATTTATATTTACGCTAACCCGACTACAACGTGTGCTATAAAACAATTCTCAGAACTTCCCGAACAACCCTCGTATGCATAAATTTTCATAATTTATGATTTCGTGCATATTAATTGTGACAAATTTCAAATGCAAATCAAAATGTTCTTTCTAAACATTTGCCTAACCGACCACACAAAATGTATTTGTCTTTTCCCATGTTTAAATGTTATTTTCATCGTTGTTTAAGATATTTTTAAAATTATGAATTGTTTTTTCAATTTACTGTATTGACAGTATTAGTGAATTCATAATAGTATACTTTTTAGCATGTGTATAATAAATGTAAGAAAATTTAGCAATTCAAAAGCATACCAGCAGGAATGTGCCACTTTAAGAATTTACGAAACTTTGATGATCTATTGGAACAATCTAATAATTCATCATGTTAAACTTATAACTTAGTTTCATAAAGCAAATTTAGATTGCCAAACAAAAACGTTGGATAATTTACATTTATGTTTATAAGGTTAATATTTTTTTAATAATTCAGCCATGATTCCACCAAATGAACTGAAAAACAACGTTATTGTAGATAAATCTGATTAAAACGCAAACATGTTGAAAAATGGATCTTAAAAGAGGTTAAATGCTTGTTGTTACAGAGTGTAATTCAGTCGGTTCCAATTTTGAGTTTATCGCCTTAAATATATTACTGAGGGCATCTTGATAGGTGAAAAAGTTCAGAAATGGTTTTAAGATAGAAAAACAAAAACGGAGTTTGTAACGAAGGCCAAAAACAGCAACATGACAATTGTTCAGACTTGTTTTTATTGGGCCTGTTAACCACGAGCGGTGCAATTTTTATAGAACTTTGACCAAACTCAGAAATAATTCTAAGGTTTAAGATATTTACATAAAGTTAACAAAGATCATAATATAGGTTTTCGTTTGATGACAACAATGTGTACCCTTGGTGAATTTGTCCTTAAGACAATAAACAGTAAAGTGTGGTGTTTTCACATGCCATATTGGACAAGGAGTTTAAATATGTTATAGCCCATTTCTCATGGCTTAACATTCTTGTTTCCCGACAGTTTCGTGAAGCATTAAAGCTAACAAATATAACTTGCATGTGTCATGTATAAGGTACTTTGTTGAAATTTCAAATCGCGCCGTCTTTGTTGCATTAACTCAATATATAAAGTGTCACATTTTCAAGGCGTTTTCTTCAAATGTCAAATGCTAAGTTACTTCTATATTCATGTTACTTCAAGTTATAGTGTTGTACTTTGTCTCATATTTATTCAACTTTTAATTTATTTTTTTCCATTTTTTCTAGCGCAAGGGCTTTGCAATGTGTCAAAATGTGCTGTCCGGTTATCCTTAATTTGCGCCATAAATGAAACTTTATGTGACTGATTAAAATTACGCAACCGATTTTGATTCTCGGTAATGACGTCTCGGTTTCTTTAAACTAAGCATGTTGTTAGAACATGATAATTGAAACATTTTAAGCAAAAAAGGATTTGAGGTCTCCGTTCTCGTTCTTTGGTTATCTGCTCCTCAATTGGACTTTGTTGCTTAAATTAAGGGCAGATAATTATGAAGATAAATAGTACGTAATATTTTGCTTATTTTATATAGTTAACTTCTGATTGAGTCAATCTGTTTATTCAATAAAGAGTAAAGAGAGTATTTGTTTTCCCCTTCCTTTCTTAGCTTGTTTCTTTTCTTAAACTAGAAATGTGTCCTTAGGACACGATGCCCCCATACTCCACTGTATTGTCAATCTAATGATTCTATGTAAATTTTTGGAGGCTATATGTTACACAAGTTGAAAACTGAAAATCCTTTACTAAGACAATGACAAAAACTCTACAAATATTGCATAAATCCACAAGCAAACCCTCAGGTGCACAACTACACAGGTTCTGATCAACATTTCTGTATACTTTTAGGACTACAGGTGAATCACCTTTTAAGCTATGCATGAACAAGTCTATAATTTATACTTAATCAATGGCAATAACTCTAAAAAACTGAAACGTTTCATATCTCTAGATCAAATACTTTAATTTTTGAGCGACGCACAATACAAAATGAAAAATGCAAATTTTTACTAAGTCAAGAGCCATAACTCTGACAAAAACTAAAAGATACACAAGCGAAACATCAGGTGCACAATTCAACATTCTGAGCAACATTTCTGTAAAGTTTGATGAAAAGTCAAATACTTTTTTAGCTACGTGCGACACATTTTGAAAATTGCAAATTTTTACCGAGTCGGGGGCAATATTACTACAAATACTGAATAAATCCACACGCAAACACCAGGTGCATAACTACAAATGCTGATCAAAATTCCTGTAAAGTTTCATAACTATAGGTTAAATATTTGTTTTAAGCTACGTGCGACACAAATTGAAAGTTGTAAAAATTTTACTGAGTCAATGGTCATAACTCTAACCAAACATAATAAACCCAAAAGCGATATAGTTAACCACATTCATCGTCTGCAGCATACTTATTTTAGATTATAGCTATTAAGTTTCGAGATTACTGTTCCATTTGATCGCTCCGTTTTTCCACAATAATTTTGCTAATTGTGAAAAATTACCAATGCTTTTCACTCAAATCAACAAATAAAAGCACTGGAATACTATTTTCATTTATTTCTTAATTATTATATTTCTTTATAACAATTTTTAGTGTCTTTCTGTTTTAAATGTCACAGTTGAGTTATTTGAAAAATTCAAATTTTATTATTTTTTTTTGGAGTTCATTTCACTGATTCTGAATGTCTAAATGATTGTTTTACATTTCAATTTATATATAAAATCATGCATGTTTAATTCTGTTGAATTATTTGTGTATTGCATACATAATTATTTATGCTTTTAATAAGCCACTAGGGACTTTTCAAATTATATGATGAATTAATTTTGCAATTTTAGAGCGAAGATTGAACTTGAAACATTGCAACAGAAATTGAAGCATGAAGAAAGAATGCGGAAATTAGAATTAGAAGAGAAAATAAGGTAAGGAAATCCGTACAGTATTTTTAAAAGAAACTACCTTTTATTATATTCAATTGAATATATAATAATAGAACAGAACATAATATACGTTTTATCTTAGACTTGTTCATAGTACATCGACATGCAAATAGATAAATAAAACAATTATCACGTCACGTGATCATGGTAAACAAAGTACAAAATGATACTGATCAGGTAAAAGAAAATACATTGTTTACAAAAAATATGTTAATATATATAATTAAATCATAACAGTCATAAAAATCCTACAGGATATTGTATACCATATTTACTCAGTGAGTCTAACCATCCAATTGAGAGTAAAACTAGAATAAAGGCGAAATATAGATGTTAACCAGCAGCAGAGCTGCATTACTGGTACTGGTACTGGTACTGCAGTATGTACTGCAGCGATTTTGCAAGTACTGGTACTGATACTGAGTTACTCTTACAAAATTTTGCTACTACTGGTACTGGTACTGCATTACTGTCTTAAAAAGTGGTACTGCTACTGCATTACCCAGTACTTTTGGTTTTGATAAAATCAAAAATAACATCAATTTTTATCATAAAATAAAGCTGTAAATTACATTAACTATATTTTATTTTTGTGAAAAAGTAAGTTATCAAATATAAAGATAATTTGCTGCAATATTCCTTTAAATGTTAACATAGTATTCATCATAAAAAGCACCAAAGACTTTAAGTAAAAATTAAATTAAGATAAACAGACTCAATAACTCTTTACCCTAAAATATCCTTATTAAAATCTTTTATTACTTTGTATTTACTAGTAAAAGAGCAAAATAAACACTAATTAATTTCTTCTATTCTAAAAAATCCCATTTCAAGTGAAAAAAGTGATATTGTTAGCACCATAAAAAGTTGTTATTTACTTTGGTATAAATTGAACAGAGGTGTGAAGGTGTGAAAGGCAACAAAAGACTGTTGTGTTTTAAATGAAAGATGTTTGCATTGTATTTATACAGTTGACTGGTTACTAAACAATTAGATATGACATGAATATATGTTGTAAATATTGTTTGTAAAAAGTATGTTAAAACTATAAAGTTGTAAATATGTTATGTTAACTTTAAAGCAGCACGCCTCCAGATTCATCCTTATTTTCATGAAAATTTTGAAAATGTATTTAAAGGTAAAATATTGTTAAATGAACAAAGAAAGTACTTGACACATTACAATCGGCACTTAAAATCCACGTAAATTACCAAAAAAGAGGTCAAAACATACATAAATAGCTCCAACTGCGTTAGTAACGCAGTAGAAATATAGTGATAAATACTACAAAATACAGTCATTAATTGCACATAAGATATAAATTATCACTTAAATCTTTAATTTGTTTACTTTTCTCAAAGTTTTAGTAATTTTTTTCCAAGTTTAATTTTCTTGAAATATTTTGGGTCATCTGGAGGCATGCCGCTTTAAAGTAAATTATGATTTTATTTCTTTGCTGAATAATATTTGCAATTATTTGTTTGACACTGTATTTATTCAAACTTTGATGAATATATAAAAGTAATGGTACTGATACTTAATTACTTCAGCAAAAAAAGTACTGGTACTGCAGTACCGAGCTAAAATCTAGTACTGGTACTGGTAATGGTACTGCATAATTTGCCAAGTACTGGTACTGGTACTTAAGTACTACACCCTTAGTACTGATGCAGCTCTGACCAGCAGACAAACTAAATACTTACTGAACAGTTTATTTTCTAGAAATTGTAATTCTTTAACAATATCATTAAAAGTTATACATGAATACACACAAATATCATATTATAATGAATTAAAAAATAGATGATACCTTTACCATTTATGAATAATGCATGATTACACAAACATGACGTTATGATGTATGAAAAAAAAGTGAAATGAAATTAATAATAATAGTACAAAACTCAAAATTCAAAAATATATTTAATAATAATAAGTGCAATTATAATCTATAAGGAAATGTTAACGCTATTTATTTTTAATACTGGAAGCTTGAATGAACTACGAAAAATAAAGTCATTATTCTCCTTCCTAAAAAGAACAAACAAAGATACACTGTATCTTTTAAAAACTAAAGACCCTTAAATCCTTTAGATATTACAAAATATTTGCAAATGAAATAGCAATTGGAAAGAAAATACATTTTTTATTATTTTTATTCAGTATTATTCTGTATTTATGAAAGATGGATACATCGGAGAAAATATGTTTGGACTATCTTTGATGTAAAGGAAAAAATGAAAAGAAAATTGAACAAGATGCAAATAAATTGAAAATACCTTTGTCAAAGTATTTAACAAATTTTATTAATTCGGATTGTGGAATTAATATTTTATCAATACTTAAAGATCCTGTAACACATTTTTTATTGTTTGATAACCTAAATACTATGATGCTTAAGTTACGAGTTATCAATTTTTTAAGTTCCAAAAAGTATTATTTATAAAGATATTACCGAATGTAACATTTCATGTCTGAATTCGCGCAGACTGATCAGGATACATGCTGTTCGCTTACAAACTCTTTAACATGTACAGACACTGATAGCGAACAGCATGGATCCTGATCAGACTGCGCGGATGCGCAGGCTGGTCTGGATCCATGCTGGTCGCAAAGCCATTATGTTGGTTTTGTCGTGACACGGCTCATATGTACAAATATTTGAAGTACATATTTTACATTTTCTTCTGTGTTTTAAAATTGTTTTATAAGCATAATTAAATACATATATATGTTTTCATTAAGTGTGGTATACAACCTCAATTACAACATACAGTGGAACAAATATCAAAATATCTGAAAGGTGTGTTTTCACAAAGGACACAATTCATATTTCTTTAAAATAACAAATTATATAAAATTTGATACATAGCATTGAGTTTCATTAACAAATGATGTGTGAACAACAATGTTATAAGAAAAAATACCGTCTTCTATAAGACAATTTGGTATAATATAAATATATTTGATAAAAAAAATCATTAAGTTCAAACACTTGTTCTTTATGTTAATAGTATTTAGCTAGTTTTACACGTTAGTTTATATGTATGATTTTGTTGTTAGAAGAAATTAGCCCAATTAATTACTACATAGATGGTCTATTATGAAAATATCGTTTAAAAACTTAGTTTCATACTGCAAAAATTTTCGTTTATATTGTCAAAAAATAATGTTGGATTGTTTAGATCTACATTACTTATGTATGTTTATAAGGTGAAGTTTTTTTTTAAATGTTTTTTTTGTCACATAAGTTGGCCATGATTTCACAACATGAACTGAAATACAACGTTACTGTAGAAAAATCTGAATAAAATGCATACGTGTAGAAAAAGGGAACTAAGAAGAGGTTCAGTGCTTGTTGTTACCAAATGTTTTTCAGTCCGTTCCAATTTTGAGCTTATCTCTTTAAATTCATAATTGAGGGCATGCATTTACATAGGTAAAAATTCAAACAAGTCAGAAATTATTTTGAGATAGAAGAACGAAAATGGAGTTTCTAACGAACGCCAAATACGAAAATGGTTCAGACTTGTTTCGATTGGGTCTGTAAACCACGAGTGGTGCAAGTTTTATAGTACTTTGACCAAAGTCTGAATTAATCTAAGATATCAAGTTTACAAAGATATTAATATGGTAATTGGTTTGATAATAACAATGTTTTTCCTTGGTGAATTGTGGCGGGAAAATGAAACAACATCTTATTTGTAAACCACTATGCTTATACGAGGAATTTTGGTCTTTCAATAAATAAATATGAATAAGGATATCTACAAGGTCGAGCAGAACGGAGCTTCCGATAGCATTCAGTCCAACAGATCCACTGGAAAGTTGTCCGGCAAAACAGCGAACAGAAGTCATGCTCAACCCACTTTCAGTAATATGAATTTCTGACAATAGAAAATTGAGCTTTTTCAAGTTAACAAATTAAGTCTGCAGCAAAATGCAATCTACACACAATCAGGAAGGAGATTATGATATGCTCCAGAAAATATCTAGCCATGGTTGTGATTCGAACTCGCGCTCTTCTGGGAAGTGACAACGCTATAGACCACTGAGCCAAATTATACAATAACTAACGCAGTTGTCAGAGGTTGAACTTAAAGCAATGAAAGATTATTTGTACTCAACTTTCAAACATTCTCATTTCAGAAAGCCATCATTTTCTCACCTTAGAGCGCTAAATGGTTTCCTCACATTACATATTAATGGGAGTGTCTCCCTTGTTGGTCTTGTATTCATAATTAACCTAATAACATAATAATTTAGAGGTTTTTCCTCTAGCGTATAGAATTATGCTTTCAGTGTATCCATACAAGGGACACTTGTAGCTGTCTGCATTGCAAGAAGACAATAAAATTAAAGACTCTGGGGTGTCCCACCAAGAAATGGAAGCGATAACTTTGACCTGTTTAGCATAGGGTGAATTCGTTCAAATTTCTCTTTAGACAATTGCATATTTAGTATTGTCTTAAACACAGTAGATATAGCCATACGAATAGTGGACACTGAAAGCCCAAGCCATGTATACCTGATATCACCCATCGTAGATGTAAATCCCTCGGCCTACCTGCTGGGCTATACTCAACTCTAGCTGCGCTTTCTTTAATAAAAGAGAAAAAAGCCAATCGAAACGACAGTAAAATGAACAAAACTAAAGTAAAAAAGCATGTGTTATTTCTTTAAATAAATTTAAGTTTATTGCCGACTGTTTAATGAGTTAATTAATTTGCTTGTCAACACATACCTACTTTTACGTAAATAATATTTATATTCATATTAATTTTATTATTTAATTGACATGACCTTTATATTCAATGTTATGCATGTATAGATGATAAACTATGTTTCAATCTCAAATCTAATAAACGATATGTTCTGTTCTGTTTCTTGACAGAATCCATCGGTACACTTTTAAGTAATTAAGCAATAAATCAAACAAACAAAGCCGCGAAAAGCCGTGAAAGTGAGTCGAAATCAAACAATTTTATAACTGTCACTCTTTTTCAATATATAGTCAATTGAACTTAACTTGACAATGAAAAATTATTGTAATGTCGCTTCGATGATTCGAAAATAAGGAAAATGTTGTACAAATCAATTTTAAAATCTGCCAGCTTTTAAAAAGTATAATTTCATACTGCAACAAAATTTAAAATTATGCCAAAATGTAAGAAACCCAAATAAAAAATATTTTTTAAAGAATATGAAAAAATTATCTACGATAAACATTGTTCTATAAGTTAAGGTATGAAAAGGATATTGTATGTTTGAGACATTTGTACGATTTGAGAACACAAGTTTTATGCCTTCGAAAACCTAGGTATGGTATAGGAGACAAGGACATTTCAATTTTTTCATTGCTTTAGTGAAACAAAGGCATATTCTTTTTCTTACAGTTTTTACCCCATGCCCCCTCGACGTCTTTAAGATGAGAGCTATAAACTTCTGTATATATGTTATATATGTCATACATCAAAATGTTTGCCTGACCCTATCCTTATTCGGAGAATCTAATTGATAAAATCGCGTCATATAGAAGTATCAATAGCGAAGGACGTGTTGTTGACCACAGATCGGATTTTGATTACCTGAAATAGCGGTTCTAGTTTTGGTTTAAAAGAACTGTAAAGAAAATATTACAAGCATAGAAACACTTTCTTAATCACAATATAATACTCACAAAAATATGCTAAAATCTTATTATTTTGGTTGCAAAATATATCATAGATAGTCGCAAAGGAAATTAAGGAGTTACTTCAACTCGGTGTTATTTTACTTTTCTGGTCTTAATGGATCCTTGGTTATATTTAGGATTAGATATCGCATAAGATGGTGATAGGGTCTGGAGAGATATTGCCTTTTCCAAGAAAGAACTCGATCAAACCCGTTCGCTTTTGATTTAATTATTTTCGATTCCAGATGTTTCTAGTTTTTTTATTTAGGAACTATTCCTCAATCTGCAAAAGTTCCTTTATTAAATCATACATTGAACAATAAGTGCAACATTGAAACGGAACTTTCATTTTTTAAAGGTTTTCATAGAAATTTTTAAGCTGTATTTAACTTTGTTTTACTGACAGCTTTTCAAATAAAAATCATGTTAATACTTTTTTTTGAGAACGGCACTTTCCTCTTTGTCTTGGAGAGTTACAGCTTTTCAAAATTCTTCAAGATAATTAATATAGTCAGTACGTTATCTTACTAAATGTGAACGTATGTACGTTGCATTTCTTCATCAAATATTTTTTCTTGTTGCAATCAAGTTGGACTCATTTTCGTTCGTTTATCAATCAAAACAGTAAATTTTTGCCATTTTCCCAGCTTCACAATACTTATTGGAAAGTTATGTATTCATACAACTAAGGGTTATCCGTCCTCTTTTTATTGTTATTTCGTACTTTATATGAGTCAGCAATACAGTTTGACATAAGATTTTGATTTTAAAATATTTCTTATTACAGTGCAGAGTTAGCACTCGAAAAACTTCGAGAGAAAACGGAGCACGAAGAGAAAATGCGGAGGATGGATTTAGAAGAGAAGAAAATGTAAGAAATTCCTTTTATTTTTATATCTCAAAAGAAAAATAGAATTTGTCCTACAACAATGTTAAATTCAGAGCACCTTTTAATATTCAATGGTTAACGTAAGAAATGTTTCACATAATTTTAACCCCCATGTACAGACTCAAACCGAATTTGCAATTTTCATGTCATTTTGTTGTGATTAATGCCTCCAGGGATCACCCTTTCACCAGATTTTTTTACTCTTATATTAATGTTTTACTTTTATATTGTAAGCACGTCAAAAATATCAGAAGTGTCAAATGAGCAATTATCAATCAATTAGCATTCATGCTGAAAGATAATTTCCGAATATGAATAAGCGTGTTCTTAAAAAATAATAATATCAAAATATTATTTATTTCAGACACTCAAAAGCTTGCGCTGTCCTTTAGCAACGACAGAGATCATGACAACTGTCAATGCATAATTTATGCAATTTAAAAAGGTGTTGAAAAATATATTCTTTTTAACTGAATTTATATAAATGTACATGTTAGATTTGTCCGACAATTTTACATTATTATTAAGTATTTCAAACATTTTATCTTGCTTAGTGCATAGTTTCACTGTTAAGCCTTCTTCGGAACAGCGTCCGTTAGTGACGTTCGTTTCTAAAAAAAATCGTGCCCTTTACTTAATTACATGTAGAGAGCGGGCCGATAGCTAAGAGGTATACTAACTGTTTATGTATTTTATGGAAGACGAATTTTATTTTCCACCTGAAATCTTCTGATTTGATAATTGTATGAACGAGTTTTCTAAAAATAACCTTTTACCTTTAGAAAAGTTGAAGGCCTCTTTACATATTTAGTGTTAACTAACGTATATAAAATTGTATATGCCTACTTGAAATTTATTACAATTACAAAGAACAATAATAATAATAATGATGCTTATGATTAGAGGTACAATTATAATATTTCTATCAGGGATAACGTGCATTTCGTATTTGGCTCGACTTCCGTCCTATATTTAGATCAAGTTGATCATTTGAAATATTATTTGTCCGCGAGAAACAAAATATAATATTCTTCTTCATCAACACATAAATTCTCATTTTTTTTTATTTTAAAGGTCCATTGTGCAAAGAAATTTTATTATATTTATTTCTAATTTTTTTTTCTATTTTTGGTATTTTGTTACAGATTCCAAAACATGCTCATTTGCCGTTTAGATAAACTATCTTTCCTCCATTTGCTTTGTTTCCAATTTGTATAATTTAAGTGAATTAGTATTTTGTATGGAAGTCAAAATACTACTTAGTTTACATTTTGCTACCTTTACCTCATGTATATTCAGCGCTACTTTATATAGCTGTTTAACATCTGACATAGTCTAAATCTATTATTGAAACATTATTCAACACATATTTGACATATTAAAAAAATTTAATAAATATGATTTCTGAGGCATAATGTGTCTTTAAGACACTTTTTCTGCTAAATCCACAACAAGTTGTACGCTTCTGACTAATAACTACTCAAATGAAATACATGCAATTTACGGAGCGCACAAAAAATGAACAATTCAAATTTAATGACTTTGGATAGAACATACAGGGAATTCCATATTTATAGAGTGTTCCAGAACAACGGTGTGTTATTTTTAAATATCCTACTCTCTATCCTCGTTTATATTATACATGTAACTTCTTTTTTAAGTTATCTCTTTTCTTTTGTTTATATACCATGATACGTCTTATTGTATACCCCTGTGTCATTGACTTTGTGATTTTAATAAAAATAAAAGTGAAATGTTGTTGTTGTTATAAACTGCAGAATATAATCAAGACAATAAAAAGGGTAAATTTCAATGGACCGTTCTTCAGCCAAAACAATTACAGTCAGCGAGTTGATAAAGCAGATCGTTTACTACCGATATATTTGTGCTTGCTAATTTCTTCTCTTTTCAAACATCAGTTTGAGAGCTAATTTGTTAGCCGCATGCTTTTTGTTTGGGTTTTTTTAAGTTGTAGACTGAGCAAATGGAAAGATACAGCCTGCATGAGTCAAATATGATCCGGGATATACCCAATGATTATGCATATGTTTTGAAAACTATATTGTTCGTATGCCCCATCAGCAACTTATGCCATGGATTTATGATATTGTAAGTTCTGACAACAAACGTTAGATTCTTTTATCGCGTGACCAAAACAAAGAACTAAAAAAACAAAAACAATTTTGTTTTGACATAAACGTATGCTTTTGAACGCCAATACACAAGTATGGACTTTAAGCTCATGAAAATGTTGTGACACGGACTGAACAATAACTCTTTTACTCAATAAACATGAAGGCACAAAGGAAAATAAAAAAAAATCTACTTTGACTTTGGTTCACGAAATTTGTAAAATTTGTCGTGTATGTGTATATAACCTGTTTAACTCATTGAAATACATTAAAATTATTTGATAACAAAGATATTAGTGGGTTTTTTTTTTCTCTTCTTAACTATATATTTTACATCTTCAAATATTGAAGTCATTAACTCATATCGCTGTTTGGAAATACACCCTTGTAATTACTCCATGTAATATATCCAGTTTTTGAGTCCATAAATGTATTCTTTCACATTTAAAATACTGACGGAGAATTATATTTCAAACTGAACATAACGGTTAATCAATGGAATGATCACGTCATTTGCCATTCTAAGTTAATAAGTGTTCATTCCTGCTGTTCTACAGAAAACAGAAACTTTGACGGGAGCGATTTTTCAAAATATCAGTCGTCATTAGCTAATGCGTCAACAGCGGTTTTTGAAACATGTGGGAACGGTGATCAACCCGCCGGCAGCGTGCCTTTCAGAACGTAATGAAATATCCCTGGCATATTATTGATGGATTCATACTCATTATTTGATCCAATTTATTCACATATGATATGAATTAGTTCGGTAACTATTAAAGAGTTTGATTATACACTAGCGACAAGACATGTTATTAATTCATTTTAAGAACTATAGCTGTATGAATATGATGAAGGTGCAATACTGTTTGCTGTGTTACTTTCATTATCGCAAAGTTAAGGCTTTCCCTTAAATTTACTAGCCCTTGTAATTTTATATAGGTCGTGAAAGTGTTTCTTGTAAAGCATAAATTACCATTTAACAACAGAAATATATGCTGATGTCGTTTTGGGTAATTACATAAACCACTCGCACATAAATATTGAAACACATAAATATTGTGAAAGTACCCATGGTTAGGTACGATAGTAAATGCATGAATGCATCATACAAATGGGTGAGATATTTATTCGTGGCGTTTTTTATGAAGATTTCTTCTTTTTTTTCAATTTTCGAGATTTTATTAGTTTTCAGACTACACAATTTAAACAAATTGGAATTGGAATACTAGAAGTATACAAGAAATCCACATTATGATATTGAAAGAACAGCGTATACATAGTATAAATTGTAAAATTTGTAATTTGTAATTACAATGTATATTTAGACAGGTTTTTAATGCCTAAGAGTATTTCTACAATTGCTTGAGGGTGTGTTCACAAAAACACAGAAACTTTTGTTTATTTCGTCAATTAAGTCTATCCATAAATTTAACTTGTGTAACGAAGTAAATATAATTTCCTTTTTTAATAACTTTGCTTTCGGTTGCGGATCAATGACTGTCACAATATTTTACCATCTTTAACTAATGTTTTATTTTGGATTTTTGAAGGCCGACATCACTGTAATTAAATGACAGTGAATATTCGAAATTTCTTGGTACAAACATATTTTGTTAGAATCCAAAACATATTTTATACAAAATTACCCAAGGATTTGTGCTATAGATCAACATGTTAACTTTAGGTGAAACTACTATCTAAAAAGCAAATATGTTATATAAGATGGTTTGAAAAATTTTATAAAGCATTTCGTTTTGGAATAGTTTTGGAACAATGTCATTGCCATTCTACGACAAGGTACTCAAAGCTGGTCGGGTTGTCTGAATGTGTCACTTCTTTTATATGTAACCCTCCAGAACAATTCTGCGTTGCAATCTACATACACAAATTAAATTTAAGACACCGGTAATCGAAATATGAAAATTTTAAAAATATTCTCAACCTACGTCTACGCACTTTTGCCATCTTCGTTGGAGCTTTTGTATTCCCGCTGTGAACCATGACGTAGACCTATGTTTTAGGTACTGTGTAACAGCAGATATCAAAGCCGCCATGGTCTTTCTTTCCAGCAAGCAATTTTTTTCAGTTCTGGAATCAAATAAAAGTCACAGGGGGCGATGTCTGGTCTATAAGGAGGGTGAGACAACAATTGCCATTTGTAAGAGTTGATAGCCTCCACTGCGGCTTCGGTGGTATGGAAGGGGGGCGTTATCGTGAAGAAGGAGGACATTTATCTGTGCTAACCTGGGACGCATTTGCTTCAGCTTTTCTCTGAGATTTTTCAGAATACTTCTGGGCGGTTACAGTTTGAATTTTTGGCATGAAATGAGTAAGTATCATTCCTCATGAATACCAAAAGGCAACAAGCATGACTTTGCCAGCCGAAGGAGACAGCTTAAACTTTTTAGGAGGTGGTGAACCAGTTCGTTTCCACTGCTTTGACTAAGCTTTTGTCTCAGGTTCGGAATAATAAACCCACATGTCATCTCCAGTGATAATGCGGTTCAAAAATTTATCTCCTCCACGATTAAAACGACTTAAATGTTCTTTTGCATTGGTTATTTTGGTTGCCTTTTGATCTGCGGACAGCTGTCGAGGCACCTACATTGCACTTACCTTGCTCATGCCTAGTAGTTCGTGTAAAATCTTGTGTGCCGATGCCTTACCGATGCTTAACTTGTTGTTCCTCCAAAGTTACTCTACGATTTTTGTTGACAAAAGCTTTAACATTTGCTACCATTGTTGGAGTCACCACCTAAGCTGCCCGCCCAGTCCTAGGCCTGTCACAAACACTTGTTCTGCCTTCACGAAACTGAGAAACCCAGTTGTAGAAGGTTGAACGTGATACACATTTATCAGAAAATCTTTTTTTAAGCCTCTGAAAGATGTGGCAGGGCTTTTCACCTTCTGCAACCAGAAACATTATAACAGAGCGTTGTTCCTTTAACAATGAGTCCATGATAGACGAAACACCTATCATATATCAGAGGGAAAATACTGTGTATACACAACTATCATTGGAAATAAACTGACCACGTTATTGGCGAATGAATGTAGTTTTAACCAACATGTAATGTCTGTATATAGCTGCACGTGGAAAGAGAGGAGCATGAAAAGTCCGAATATTTTCTGACCGTCCCTCGTATGTTATAAAAGAAGCAAAATGCAAAACAAAACAGAATTAAACTGTGCTTAAGACTAAAAGGCAACAAAAGCTAAAGATGGTGCACGAAATAGGCATCTAAGTATTTTTTTGTAAAAGATTTACGCTCTTATCATGGCGTGTTAATTCTTAAGCGATTGGCTGCAAGTATAAAATGGTAAATATGAATAAGTTAAAATGTATTCAAAAATCTATTAAAGCAATGTTATGATATGATTAGGTACAATATATACCTAGCATTTGAAAAAAGGAGATACTATTTTGGTGTCATTATGTCCAAAAGGCATAGATTGGAAATTCATTAGAAAACTATTAAATTAGAAATTCTTTATAAAATAACCCACTCTTATTCTATGCCATTTGCCAATTTCTTTATGTTTTGTTACGTTATATTAATACGTTGCCATATCTAGTATATTATCATACGTGGCTAACGTTCTTTAAAATGTCTTTCGTGTAAATACATACTAAGATCAAAACCACATATAATGTAATATATGTGATGAAAAAAAGTAACTTGACTTGGTGAAGAATTAAGTTTCCTGATAAATCACTGATAAACAATATTCAAGTAAAGTGTAAGATATTTTATTAACAAAATAAAAAAAAGAGTAGTAAACATAAAAACTCAGTATTAAAGGGACTCCACTGAGATTTAAAAGCCTAAAAACATAACATTTGAATTTCTTACTTAAATGAGCTGGGCTCTTTAAAGAAAAATATATACAAAGATAGTTAATAAATATACTTTGAAATAAATTGAAAATCGTATTTTTATGCTTTCCTTAGTCCGATGATGGTGGAAAGGGTTTAAACGCTTTTCATTTTGGGTCATTTTTTACAATTTGAATAATTATTCTGGAAAACACGAAGTGCCGGAATTATCTGAAATTTTGCACAAAGATTAGTGGTCTAAACCTACATCAAATGGTACATTTATCTGGAAAAAAATATTTTCAATCCCATCATGTAAAAAAAAACCTCAGTGGAGTCCCTTTAAGTAGCACATAAAACACAAAAAGAAAAGAAAACAACGTTCATTAAATCTGAATTTTTTTAATTAAAATAGATATTACAATTATTGAATAATAAACAATTATGCTCAACATTATCAACATGGTAATATAACCAGTGTCATATTTTTACTTAGTGTTAAACAGATACCTTAAGAGGGGATCTTCGCTAATAGCGATAACATAATTAGGGACAATTACACAAGTGTTGTGTTGATCATGCGCAACACATATGGATTATAAATGATTGTATACATGTATGTCCGTTACTATTAATAATCACGATCATATAGAAATAACAAGTAATATTCTAATCTCTAGCATGCCAATCAAAGTTCATAATTAACAATGTCTTTCGTCCGTTCATTCATAAGTGATATACAATTCTGGTAAAAACCAATTAACCATTAAAAAGATTATAAGAATATATTTTA